AAGGCAGATCTGCCTTCAAAAGTAAGAACGGTTTTTTGAAGGCAGATCTGCCTTCAAAAAACCGTTCTTACAGAGTAGACCATTTTTTGAAGGCAGATCTGCCTTCAAAAAACCGTTCTTACAGAGTAGACCAGTTTTTTCACGGCAGATCTGCCTTCAAAAAACCGTTCTTACAGAGCAGCCGGCGCTCTCTGGCAGCCGCCCGCGCGCGCGGGCGAGGAGCCCCGAGGCGGCGCGAGGCGGGCCGGTGCCGCCGCCCCCCCGGCCCCAGCGGTCCGACGCACGACGTCGATTTCTCAGCACGGGGTCCCCAGAGGTCTGGACCTCTGGCAGCCGCCCGCGCGAGCGGGCGAGGAGTCCCGAGGCGGCGCGAGGCGGGCCGGCAGCGGTCCGACGCACGACGTCGATTTCTCAACACGGGTTCCCCAGAGGTCTGGACCTGTCGCCCGGGTTCCGACGCACGACGTCAATTTCTCACGACGGGGTCCCCAGAGGTCTGGACCTCCTGCCCCGGGTTCGGCGTTCCCGCCCGAGTCGTCCTCGTGACCCGCGGCAGACTTCCGCGGCCCCCCGAGGCCGAAAATGGCGAAAAGCCTCTGCGCTGAGTTTCTCGAGGCGTTGCGGGTCTGGGATTAGGTCGGGCATGCCCCCCTTCAGGCAGAATTTGGAGGAACAATAAAAAATAGTCAAACATATACAAACAATCTTAACAAAAACTTGATAAATCGTACCCCGACTATTTTTGACTATTTTTGAACATTCCCCCTGTAGAGGGATAGGCCCGACCGAAGTCTGGGAGGAGAGTGGTTCTCGGGGCACAGCTCGAGCCTCTGGCAGCAGTTCAGGGCGATCTGGGCGCCCCCGAACACCCTCGGCGAGGCGCAGCTGCTGGAAAACGCAGCGAGGTCTGCCGAAAAAGGAACTTTTAGGGCCCCTAAGGTGGCCCTTTCGAGCCCCAGGAGAGGGCCTTTGGGCCCCGAGAAGAGCAGATCCCGCCCCCATTGATCGCCCCCCATGGCGTCCTTTCTTAGGGGGCTGTGCGCTCGGGAAAGGGGCTTCTGCGGGTTCGCGGGATTCGGTTCGTCTCCCTTTCGGGCCCCTCGTGCGTTTTGCTGGATTCGGCTCGCGCGCAGGCGCCCTGTTCCAAGGGTCGGGGTCTAGCCGTCCCCGCGCTGCCGCCGGCTGCCCGTCGAGGCCCCTGGTCGACGGGCTCTTCTCCTGTCAGCTGTCCTAGCTGCCAAATCTCTCCGTTGCCAGCTACTCGTCGACACATCTGGTCGGCGCTCATTTCTCCTGAAAGCTGTTCGGCTGTGGTCAGCGGTGCTAGCTGCAACACGTCTCACCTAACATCCCGAGTTCCCTTCGGGCGTGTCCGCGGCACCTTCGCGACAGCTCACGCCGCGCCACTCGTGTCCTGGCACTTCGCCACTCCTTTTGAACAATCACCCGTCGGTCCGAGGCGGCTGGTCAGCGGTCCTGGCTGCACCACATCTCACTTCATCCAGTATTCCTTCGTCTTCCCCTTTCTGCTGATTTCTTTATCCATTCTCACTTCTTCCTTCCATCCTGTTTCCCTTCACTCCCCCCTCCCCCGCTGGGGCTTCAATGAGGGGCACAACATGCAATAGACCTAGAGGCGGCCATCTCTGCCAGACTCTGACAGACACGGCGAGCGACAGTCGGTCTCTTCCGCGCTGCGTCCTCGCCCTTCTTCTATCCTCACACGCACACACACATGGCTGCCTCTCCTTGCCCCTTGCTGCCCCCTCCCATTCAGGAGACGAGGATGAGGAGGTGGAGGAGAACGGCGAGGGCGAGGCCTGCGAGCCTTGTCGGAAAATGAGCTCTGTGTCATCCGCGCTCGTGGCAGGCAATACTGGTGGCAAGCGTCCTGGTGGCAAGCATCCTGGTGGCACCCGCAACTGAGGGTTCCATCCTCCGCACCTCGCCAGCGTGTCATGATTCCCGTCGGAAGAGAAAGGGGCACGGCACGTATAGTGCCTTGAAGACAATCGCGCTTCGGATCCCATCCTTGCCCCTCCCTCTCCTTTTCCCCCTGCATACACTGCCGCCCTTCCTTCCTCCCTTCCCCCCTCCCATAAACCTCTGCCGCATAATTCCTCGCAGCGCTGGCTCAAGCAACACGGGCCGACGATGTACGCTCTCTTAGCGGAGGTCCGAGACGGAAATTCCGCTCTACAGGAATGGGAGGGCGTACCTGGCCTTCACCTGCGCTTCGATTTCCTGTCCGCGAATGGCGCGGACCCCGCCCTGCTGCATTCCTGGCGGCACGGGCACTCTCTCGGGGCGTCGCCTGTCGTCCCGAGGCAGGTGCGCAACCATCCTTCCGTCACGTCCCAGCTCGCGTGGGCCGAACGCGAATGGGACCGCCTGGCTGAGTCGGGGAAAGTTTCCTTCTTCCCGGCTGATGCCCCTCCGCCCAAACACCTCAACGTCAACCCGTGCGGCTTAATCCTGAAGCCGCGCCCCGGGGCGGACG